GCGTATTTTTATCTCCAGCAATCATGAAACCAGAACACAAAGACATAAAAATACAGGCAGAAAAGCCCCACGAATGCAAGACTAGTTTTACAGAGCCAAAAAACAAGCAGTTCAGCTCCTGGTTAAGTTACGCAACATTATTGAAATGGATTCATTATAATCATTATAAATTTTTAAAATCCACATTGAATTGCTTGAATTTTGGCATTGTCAATCACATTTCTCTATTAAAAATGTATGTGATGCAACAGAAGACCTTACAACTTTTACTGAGTGCCAGGTGTTATAAAATCATTCAACATGCCGCAATCATAATGAGCATTCTCTAAACGAAGGCACTGTTTAATTCACAAACTGTACACTTGTGCTGAGTAGTATCTAGATTGCTTCCTGAGTTTGCAGCCTGAAAAAGCTTTTGCTGTCCTCTAAATGCTACTTATTTCTGCAAGCTTTCATATTTGTCTGCATGTCCTGTGCATTCCTTTCTTGAGCTATACCAGCACCTGAGGAGTTGAACCAAAAGCTATGCATTACTCCCTGCTCATTCTTCCTGACTTATCAGTTTCAGATCAGCAGTTTCCTACTTCTGCAATTTTGCCATGAACAGCACACTGTTCTGTACCATAAACAGGCATTTTAGATTCTATAATCACATTAGCTCTGATAAAAAATAGATCTCATAATAGTTCTAGAATACTAGATTGCTGTTTAAAGAAAAGAAATTGAAAATGTGGAACTACTAAAGTCAAAAAATCAGAAGAAAGAATAACTTATGATTTTGCTCTTAGCTACACATTGATTGTACGTGGGAAAGGGATTACACACCTTAAAAAGCAATCTAACACATTCTGAACATCTGAAACATAGTGTACCAGCATGATGCAGTTTAAGGCAGTGAAAATAACTTCAGCGGCCATTGGATTGTTGCCATCTTCCAATACAGTGGTGTTCTCTATAAGCCTGAGCTACTTTAGTTTTTCAACTGGGCAGCCACAAATTCTTTTCTGTGTGCAGGCTCCATTGTGTTTATGCCAGTAGAGAATAAATACTTCTTGCATTTACCAAGCTTTCAGCTGTCTTATGAAAGCTCACGACCAGGTAGAATGACTTTGTACTCTGCATGTCTCACTAATGTTCAGAAGATATGAACTCCACCTGAAATTATACCAAAGGCTGCCCCCACTGTAAGCGTTAATAGGAAGTTGAGGCATTTGGATGTGTATGGATACATCATCTTAGGCATACCCTGACATTAAAGCTCTGAAAATCCTGTATGTGTTTAAACTCACACACAAAAAGAAAAAAGCAGCAAAACAGGACTTCAATTTCTGTCTTGTTGCTCTGTGGACTGTTTCAAAATTTGCACATTACTGGCTCTTTGAAGAGCTGCATGCAGAGACTTGACAACACCTTCAGTTAAAACAGATTTATTCTGAATTTAATTTGAGGAACCCTGAGCATATCAGCTTTCCTTTAGAAAGATGAGAAGTCCTTTTGAAAAAAGCCAGCAAAGCAGTAGTTTCGAGTATCTTTCTGAATCTTTTTATTTTGTGCATTTATCAATACAGGCATAGCACAGTAACAAGTCTTCTGTCACCTGTGCATTAAAAGTGGAACAATATTTCAATTAATATTTTATAAACTATAAAGGAATATTTTTTGAATTTGATCCAGGTCCTCTTTTCAGCATCTGTGGTATTAGAGCTCTACAAACTACTCTTCTGGAAAAGTGACTGTACTGGGGCTGTGTTCCACTGGGTGACACTTCATAATGCAAAATGAACATAGGAAACCAAAAGAAAATTGCAGTGCTATTGCCTGCAATGAAACATTCGCAATATCAAGGTTAACATTAACCTCTGACACTGGGAATTTGGAACTGGAAAATCTTTAAGGTTCCTTCCACTCCAAACCATTCTATGATTCTATAGTTACCAGCCAGAGGCATTCAAGCTTCTTTGAGTTATATATCAGTAACACGAAAATCCTATAAACCAAGCTGTTTCACACAGATTTTGCTGTCATGGCTTTAGAACTCTAGAATCCATTTGAACTGGTAGCATAAGTTCATTTATGAACAGTGGCAGTTTGGATTACTGCCTCAAAATCAGAGGAGAGAAAGGTTATTCATTGAGATCATGGAATGGACCAAAAGGATGTTACTTTACCTCAACTACTTGGACATTTATGTAGTACACCAAGCAGCACAGGATAACTCACATGACTAGAATACTAATAAAAAGGAATGGCTTGTTCGAGGAGAGGCAAGGAACACAGTTCCACAGGAATAGATGTAAAATCCTGTATTTTATAGGAATGATTAAATGTACAGACTTAGGATGAGACTGTCTAAACTGGCAGCAGTACAGAAAAGCAATGCAGCACAAGCTCTGGATGTCAGTATGCATTTCATGACAAATGTAGTTGAACTGTGCCATGATGGTGGTAAAAAGAGTATCACAAAAAGAAGCACTGAAAAGAATGGCTCTGAGCCACACAAAGCCATGTACAGTGCAGCACTCAGCTGAGGAGCAGAACCCAGTCTGGAATTTCAAAAAAGATGAGTCCCAACTAGAAAGATTCTAGAGCAAGATGAGCAAAAGGATCTGAGGGCAGAAAATCCAAGGGAAGAGGGATTATTTAGTTCAGCAGGTAGGACAAATACAGCAGCCATCTTCAAATATAGAAGGAGAGTGTGCTCATACATAAGCAGCAGACAGCAGTAAGGGATCTGGAGACAAAGCCTAGCTTAGGTTAGTCAAAAAAAGCAAAAAGCTGGTCTGTGTTTGCTCTTAAATTGAACATCTGGGAAAGCTGTGAAATCACTATCCATCAGGAATTACACAGGTGTATTCGATTCAGCCTTCAGGCAAGGAAGATGGACTGGATGACTGCTTGAAGGTCTTTCTTGCCCTGTTTCTGCTGTGGCCATCATTCTCCTCTGCCTCTAGATCCCTTAGGATGGCAATGAAATATGACATCTCTGTGCCTCACACATAATCGAAGGGAACCTGACAAGTCACATCTGTACAAGGGCAAAAATAGAAACCTATGCTAAGAAACACAGCAATTGATACAACCAATCTTCTACAAGCACTGCAGCAAACATCTACTCCCTTCTCCTCCCCAATACTCCTCTCACTTATAAATGATCAGATAATTTAATATAACTTCTATCCAAATAGCAGTGCAATCCCATATATTCCTTGTGGAGATACTATGCAAACAAAGATAAAAATCAGATCGGGCATTTTAATTTAATTTAAAATGTGCTCTGAAACATGGAGTTTATGGAAATAATCTTTTCATTTATTTTTCCTATCCATAAAAAAGCAAACTCCAAAACTAGATGATATTCCAAATATTCTCTTTTATGGCCTTCAATTTCTAATATAATCAAAAAGAACCAAGAAGGAAGATGTAAAGATAGTAACTGTGAAAAAATGACAAATTTATGTTGTAACAAATCACAGCAACTATTTTTTTGACTTATGCCTTTCACTGTGATTACTTCCAGATTAAGATTCTGCAACATTAGCAAAGGTAGGCAGATTTCATCCCTTGAAAACCAGCGACACACAAAAAGAATTTTACTAATCATCCACAGTCAGTTCATCCCTTGTCTTTTGCCTGAATGACAGAAACACATATTGCACAAATATAAAAAGAATGCATCTAGAATCACAGTATTGCTCAGGTTGGAAAAGACCTTAAAGATCATTGACTCCAACCACAACCTGACAATCCTACCCCAACTCTAACAGCCCTCTGCTAAATCATGTCCCTGAGCACCACATCCAAACGGTTCTTAAACACATCCAGGGATGGGGACTCAACTGCCTTCTTGGGGAGCCCATTCCAGTGCTTAACAGCCCTTTATGTAAAGAAGTGTTTCCTCATATCCAACCTAAACTTACCCTGATGCGACCTGAGGCCATTTCTTGAGGCCATTTTCATCTAAAGGCATGACATGGGCCCTAGCTTCTTCTGTTAAACAGTACAAGAAAAATTTACTTGTTCTCTCAAAGAACAGAAGATTAAATACAAAAATAACCACAGAAAAATCATAGCTTCAAAATATGTTTTCAAAATATGGTATTAAAAAAAAAAAAAGAACCCGTAAGCTATCTATCTATCTACATATATATAATAAACATTAAGGTTGGGCACTTCAAGGGATTTCTGTTTCAGGAATTTGCAGCATGTTCCATTTCTTGCAGAAGGTTTTTATTCACCTCATTACCAGTCAAGAAAATACTTCATACTGAACCTATAAAAACTTACGCTTAGAACATTTGCCATTTCTTTCTTTTGTGGTGATACACTTGAGAATCACTTAAATACACTTAAATCATTTTAAATAAAATTTATGATTGCATTAAATTTCCAAAGCAATAATTGATCTCTGTAACTGCTAGATAAGACAAGATTATCCCAGTTTTATGCTGAGGGACAGCTGAGGCAAGGAAGTTTACCTTTTTGCACAACGTCACATCTTGAGTCACTTAGACCTGGAATAGACCATAGTTCTGTACCTCAGGCACACTGTTTAATTTTGTAAGTTTTTGTAGGATTTAGTCACCTGTCCCAGAGCAACTGGTTTATCATTTCTTTGGTAGGACAGGAAGTGTTAGATCTGTGCTCCCTGAGAACATGCGTATGACTACATATGCGCCCCTCCAGAACATTTTAAAACTAGGAGAAAGAGACAAATCAAAAAGAAGTCAGCAGCTACTTAATATATCACATCAAAATATTCCTAACAAGTTGTCAGGCAAAGATTTACAGTTATACAAGAAAAACTGATGCTGTCTTTAACATTCTTTGACAGTGCAGTATCTCTGCTGAACCAGCACAATTATAGAGAATGCTAAAAGTACCCCAGAGAAAACATTAGGATTGGCACAGCTGATTTTGTCAGCTTTTCTCTCTTGTCTTTCTCATCCAATCCCCTTGCTTCCTGTTCATCCTGTCACAGTTAAAACAAATGCCAGACGTACCTTTATCGTACTAGTGTGTGCACCAGGATATTCTTTTTCCTCTAACGTTGACCAACGTTGTATAAATTTTGACACCAAAGGATCGTCGTAGTCAACTATCTGAAATCCTGAGACATTAGCTCCTCCAAACTGAATTTTGGATAGATCCCCATCAGTAAATCCCTGGGCACAGAAAACATCATGTCTGTTATTCCAGTAGTTCTGGCAGATCTCTCAGTTGCCTTATACATATAAAAGCATCACCATATGACGTCTATTGCAAATGTGTATGCCAAATGTTTTCTTCAAACAGGATCCAAGTCAAAATCCTGGGCTGCCAGCCAACAATGCCTCTTGTTGCTCAGTAGTCTTATACTTCCATAGAAGAAGTGCTACCTTTGCCATCATAACTTCCTTAGAACAAAAATAACTGTTAATTTCAATGGGACTACTTAGATTACAAAGTCAGTAACAGATAGGAGAGAAAATTTTAGCCTGGCCGGTTGTTTTTTTTTAAATATATAAAATGAAAGTGGGTTACACTAAAACAGTTCATTTATGCAAATTAAATGAGGGATGTCTAATCCTGTCCATCAGTATAAAGACAATATAATCAAAGACTACTAAAGTTTTCTTCCTGATAGAACACTTTTTGAAATCACCATCATATATATATGGTACATATGAGAAATTTACCTTTACAAACACACAGTAAGCGAATATGGTAATAGACAGCTATAAAATATAATGATTCAATGTGCTTAAAATCTTATAGGCTTGAAAATCTTACTGTAGCAAGCCAAGCGATGGCTAAAATAGCAAGCAGTCAACGTAATGAAATACACCAGGCAACTTTCCAAAACGCTTATTGCCTTTGAGACCAAAAATATTTATACAACAAATGCAGCACAAACACAGGGAATTTTCAAATTCTGTATGACTTTTTGCTTTTCTTGTGAACATGCAATACCTTAACTTCTTTGTTCCAAAAAAATCAGTTAACAAATACAAATATGGATCCACACTGTTATACTTTTAAAGAGACCTTGAACTCTCAAAGCCTTCCTTCTTATATAGCAACATAGATAACTTTTCAGAATACTCTTGTCCGAAGGGAAGAGGACTTTTGATTAAAGGCTAGGAGGAAATATGGGCTCTATATGAAGTGTAATTAGGCACACTACAGTCATTCTGTATTCTCAACTCCCTCTAAAATTACTATGAAAAAGAGTGCAAATCAGAGCAATTTAGGGGCTTTGCTGAAATTTTTGTTAGTCAAACCGTATCAAGCTCCAGGAATAAAGATAATAAATAAATTATATAAAAGCATTCTCACCATACAACCCTCAAAGCTCTTTTGTGGAGCAGAGCAGTGGACATTCAAGCCCAGACTTTGCTTTATCCATTGCAGAAAAAACTATCAGATTCTCTAGCTGAAGTCCATAAGTACTGTTGACTTTGATGTCAGTAAAATGGCCATTCATCTTTAAGAATTTCAAAAAACAACCTTGACAATTCTGAGAGTTTCCTGAACCTTCTCTTCCCCCTTAGGAACAGTATTAGCTGTACTGCCTGATTGTTCAAGGAGATATTCTATCAAACTGATTGCCACGCCAACCTGAGTAATGAGGATGTGTGAAGGTGAGATTCAGTAGCCCAGCAGAATCAAAGCTGAGAGCTCTGATTTTTAAAAACTAAAGCAGTGAGAGAAGAAACAAGAGTTATCTGGATGAATGCATCAGACCATGGTCTGGAAAGCTGTTTTTCTGATTTTCCTACCTACACTGACTTTCCTACAGTATGCAGAAAAATGGACAAACCTCTACTGGAGTTGCTGAGCATACTTCAATCCCATTGACAGGAATTTAACAGGAAGCATTTAAGCTCTGAAAAGACTCAGCCAATAAAACAAACACTATCTGAACATGCACATATATTTGACAAGAATAAATATATTTAGCTTTTCTTTATCTTCTAAGCATTCATTGAAAATACAGTACTAGTTTATGTGCCTCCATGAACAGCAAAATGTGTAGTGCAGGTATTTTAAATACTAAAACTGCTTACCAGATTTGCAATAATATAATGGTATCCTTTAACATGTTTACCAATTGTGATAACCTGTAAGAAAAAAAAAGTACCCATGACAAAGAACGTTCAGCTGATAGGCAGACTAAGACTTAATCACTAAACATAATACGATCTAAAAGTCAGTTATGAACTTTATCATATGCAATAGTGAGTTTGTTGAGTGCTGTACTTTTATTTTACCTCATGAAAATACTCCCCGCTGGTAGAAATTTGTCATACTGAAGATCAAGCTCCAAAATCTGTAAGAGGACTTGAATGCTTCATATTAAAGGTTCAACCCCTAGAGGTAGGAATGGGTACCACAGAGTAGATTGAACCAGAAGAATCACTGTGACTTAGGCCTTCTCGCTTAGGTTCTGCTCCATTTGTAGCAGTTTTGTAACATTTCTTGAACCAAAAACTTAAAACAAAAAGCATTACAACATAAATGAAAGAATCCACATTATGAGGAAATTTTAGAAGCTCAAATTGTTGTTTGTTGTCCTAAAGCTTCCTTATAATCTCTCTCAAAGCCAGCTGGTGGTTTCTCAGCTATCTCCACTGGCAAGCATGTATCAAGGATTTTTCTCCCATATAATCCTAATTAAGACTATATCTTCACGGGGAAGTTTGCACTTGGAAGCAAAACACTTCTCCAGAGAAAGGAAATGGGAGAAAATAGGTCTCTAGAGATTTCTTCCATCTTTTGAACAATGAGAACAACAGGAGTGAACTCAAAGTATTTTTCAGCTTCAACTCTTACATAAATGGTTGTAATCTGGCAAAGAAGCTGTTGCATAGGAGGAAAAAAAAAAAAAAAGAATGAAGGAAGAGCTTTGCAAAACACTGTATGTCTGTATAGTGATCCAAGGACCACAAAGCATTACTGGGACACAGCTTCTGAAGTGAGTGAGATAAACAAAAATACTGAAGAAGGTTTGTTCAAGAATGGAAAGCAAGAAAGAAAGCAGAGAATTTGCAGCTTAATGTATCAAGAAAGCATATGATACTCCAAAATCCAGGAAAAAAACTGGTCAACAGAAAGCCCACTGTGCACTTCTCAGTAAAAGTAATAAGGAAAAAGAAAAGGCATTCTGATACAAAAGGCTGAAGGCACGCTCAGGAAAAGGCTTTTGCTGAGGCATGGCTTTTGGTTGTTCTGGGTTGTTGGTTTGGGGTTTTTTGCCTAGAATTAGAAGGGTTTTTCAACAAATAAATCTGCTAGTAAAGTAGAACCCAATGTACCTAACTAGCAGTTAGAAAAGAAAATCAGAATGACACAGTCAAAGAAACTCACAGGCCAAAAAAAACTTACAGGTACTCCCAGAAATCCTTTCTTAGGATGATTATTCATTTTAGGTGGGAGAGAAAATTAACAGAAAAATAGTCATTTTAGCATTTATTTCGGACTACTTGAGAACATCAAAGCGGGGTTTACCTTAAGGTAATGGAGTCATAGGAGCAAAAGAGTAGGGATAAAGGACTCCAGAAAACAGATCAAACACCAGAAGCTGGTAGGGTATCTTTCAAAGAGAATCTCAAGGCTAAACCCATGAGACAGCTGACACTTAGCAGCAAAGCAGAAAACTATTTTGATGTGAATAAATGATTGGAATTACAACGATCCCTGTGGCTGATCCACAACTTTTAACACTCTTCAGTGACTTAGAAAATCAGATGAGCAGAAACAAGAGTTTATCCATCCATATGCCTTCAGAAGTGACACAAGTCTGCGGGGATAAAGTGAGAAAGTCTAAATCTCAACTAAGGTACGACCTGTCAATGTGCAACAAGGGTATGAAAAATATCCTAGAGATGCACTCAAAATAAGAAGCCAAAAGAAAACAACAGGTATATTACAAACAGAGACAAAGCTAGTAAGAATGCACGGTAACTAAAGTGATGGTTCCTGTCATTAAAAAGCAGCACAAGGTGAAACTGAAAAAAATTAGTCTTTGTATCACAAAAGAGATTAAAATTATATATCTGATTGTATAGATTTTAAAGGATATTAAGATGATAAACAGTCAGTGTACTCTTGTCAAAATCAAAATATGTCAAAGCAATTTCTTTCCTTTCTCTAATGTGATATTATCTGTCAGGAAGGCTGAGGAAACAGCGGGTGCAACACGTCCAGCCTAATAAGGCTCTCATTGTGTGACATCATTATAAGCTCCTAAGGAAACGTGGACAAAAGTCAGTGTAAGGTAAGCAAACAACTGTCTGATAAGTGGTAAGCAGTGTTTCTCTCAAGCATTGCTCTGTTCAGTACACATATGAATGACATGAAATTTATTGGTTTTTTTTCCAATCAGTATGACGAATCAAAAAATATGATTATAAAACACTGCAGATGGTGACAGAGAGAGGTTGTGAATGCCCTGAAGGACAGGATCAAATTAAAATTAATCCTGAAAATTGCAGAAATAGTTTCTGGGTACAATTTCAAAATAAAAACACACAAATAGAATGCATTCAGTTTGCATGCTCAAACACAATGCTCAGTGCCTGAGCCTCTCCAAGCTATGATCATTTTCACAGTGAAGACTAAAATAACAAACCCTCCAAAAAAGCTTCAGACTAAACCCAACCAAATGCAACTAAACCTAGCTAATATATTCCTAAGGATGATGCACTGTCTCGCATGGTCAAGTTTAAATCAGTACAGAATTGTTCTTAGTCTTCCATTGCGCTGTGTATGCATGAAAGCAGTAAACAAGATAAAAAAACAACGCTGAAAAGATCCATCTGGACCCACCTAGACACTAGGACTGAAGGGGTGGATTTGGAGGCAATACAGGAATTTGAATCAGAGCACTGTGATGCTGCTATACAAAGAAAATTCAAGTAAGTAAATAAATAATTTTGATAAACAATATACAGGTGGGTGGGGAGATGGCATCTTTCTGCTTTGCTGAAAGTTCAAGAAGCCCTCACTATGGAAGACAGTGTCCTAACTTGGTTATCACATCATAAGACAGTGACAAAAGAAGAGAGAAACTAAAACAAGGAATTATGAGGAAAACTGAATGAAAAAGATAAGCTGCTGATGCAGTCCTCCAAGATGTATAAGTTTTTTTGGAAGAAAAAAAAAAAAAAAAAGATTAGAAATCACACAGCAAAATAACCCATAGACTTACATATCTATCTGTAAAGCACCATTTACAATAGTGCAGGAAGTACATATAATGTAGTACAATACCTAGACAGATTGCAAAGTAGTCTTAACGAGATTTTTTAAAAATAATCAGGATAGAAAGCCATACCAGATGATCCAGAGAGAATTATCCTGCATTTGAACAGAAGGAGCAATTACAGGATTTGCACGATCTCTTTCTGTCCAGTGTGTATGTGGCTCTCAACAGAAATCTGTCACTTCCAAAAGATGTATAATGACCACAAAAACAGGATCGACAGAAACAAACTCATTATGCTTTTTACAGAATATAAATAATTGCCATAACTGAGAAATAGGGAACAGCAAACCTGATCAACAATGTCGTTGACTTTATCGCGCTCACAGTCCAAAATCACTCTCCTTTCCTTTTTCACCTCTAGATCTTGGAATAGTGAACGGTATGTTTCATCTTTTCTGTCATTGTTAATGTTTCCTACGTTGATAGCAGTCACTTGCCACTTCTTCTCAGCTGCAGAATCCAGCACAGCTTGCAATGTTGATAACCCTAGTGATGCACAGGAGAAAGCAGAAGGTATAACTGACAAAGCTTCAGGACTAACAAGCTTCTGGAAGATGATTTATGAGATTACTTATTTAAGATTACACAATCACTTGTTTGAAGTGTCACATGTAGCTAGAAATCAGAAATGAAGATATGCGTCCAACTTTCTTGAGTGAAAATTGTATTTAAACAACTGGAAGGGATCAGAACAGAGCCTTATAAGGACAATATTTTGGTTTTGCTTCAACTTTTTTTCAGAAGGGGATTTTGCCAATTCACTGATTCACTGCTGGAATCCTATGCACACAGAATGAGGTCTTCCAGGAGAAAAATGATCCAATTACAGAAAGAGGATCAGCTCTTTATTACTAAATTCTATTTAACTGTTCCTGCTCTCAATACTTAAGCAGTAACCTATTTAAATCCTGATCTCACTGAGGCCTGTGGCAAAATTCTCATGTTTCAGAGTTATGAGAAGTTATTATTTCTGTTGCCTATAATCACAACCCAGATAACTGAGCTATTATTTCTGCAGACCACAATCAATCCCTGATAATGAAAGAAAATTTGATTGCATGTATTTTTTTCCACACAGATCCGTAGGCCCAGCATTAGCACCTAGCAGCGGTCTGTAGATTTTTGCTGCTATTTTAGCATTTTGGCATATTTCTGGAAGCTATGATGTCTGCATAGCTTCAATTGCCTACAAAACACTGTAAAATCAGTGAAGATTTCACTTGACTCATTTTTCCTTTTCAAAGATTAAATAACAGAGAATAGAGACGTGCATTCATGTGCAAAGAAATGAAAAGGCATGTAAAAGGAAGCTTCAAGGATAACCCTCGTGAGAAATGATAGTGATTATGAACATAACTGTAGAAAGAAAGTACTAAGAATCAATTTGCCTCAAAGTTTGTAAACACATTAGTCAGTTTTAGCAATTCAGCTTCTGGAGCGAAAGCAGTAATAAGGAACAGCAATACATATAAGACTGGTCATCAGCAAAGGAAGAAAATGGCAGGCTTCCAAAAACATAATTTCAGTGATATGTCAGATAGTTCTGGCTTTCTATACTGAAGTATAGGAAGTTCTATATGTCATGCAATGAGTATTTTAGAATAAAAGACAGCTACAGTCCAAGGGCACACAAATTATTTATGACATGTTAAAGACATGTTTTCATTTCCCAGAAAAAGATAACGAACATAAGTGACCTAAAAGACGTAAAGAGTATCTTAAAATATTATCAACTATTCAAAGTAATTCTATACTTCAAAAAAATGTTCTTAATGGCAATTCTTTACTTGCGTTCCTTTTTAATTCTTTTGGGAGATCACTCAAGACAAACAATTTCTGCTATTGCAGATTTTTCGTTTTCTGTTCCTGGGAATACAAAACCCACGTTCAATTTTGCTTTTAGATTACTGGTGTTGCTTCTTAAAATGGAATTAAGACTGAATTATCGTAGAAGCTTTTTGTTCCAATTTCAAGAGGAAATGTCAAGGCATTTTCCAAGGAAATGACAACTTCTTTACTACGCATCTCTGTGATATCAGAGGTAGTCATGTGCAGCTCACTCAGTTGCTGAATAACACTTCCTAACATCAAGAACAAGTTTTATAAGAGGGAAATCTTATTCTGAGAGGTATATACAAGTAAAGTTGTATATACAAAGTATATCTTGAAAAAATATACTTTGGATGAAGCTAGCAATGAAAATTTCAATGCATAACAAGTAGAGGAAAAAAGAGCAAGGAAAATTAAACCAACTTTCAGAAACAAATGCTTTTGCAGGTTCCTAAAAACCCAAAGTTCTAGCATGTGTGAACATACTTGTGTAGTGTGCTAATTCCTATGGGCTTGGTTTAAACATGTGTCAAGTTCTTTTGCTTCAAATCATCTAAATTTTATGATTTTTCATTATGAAGTGCACTGTTTGCTTTGCTTCGTTTGCACATTTTTCAATGTAAAATCATCTTTATTAGTAATACAGCAGTGAAGACCCTAAAGGATCTGATAATTTTGCAGTGCATATTATTCGTTTAGTCGCATTCTGTTCCTGTGTTTAACAGCTTTGCTTCTTCCACATACCTGAAATTAAAGAAATAGTTATAATAAAACGATCCCAAAAATTAACAAGACATTAAATATAATCTGAATCACTGTTTCAGATCTGATTTAGTAGATTCTAGGTTTTCAAACATGTCCTTGAGGGCTGCTAATGGTACTGCAATCCATTTTAATGAGTTTCTATATTTTTTTCTTCTCATCTTCCACTTTTCCTAGGGACTCCTTTTTTTTTTTTTTTTTTGGAGTACCCTCTGCAGTGAGCAGATTTGTTGCTTTTTAGTGGTGACAGATCTGTCATCCTCAAACAGTTTAGTTTACTCTGATAGCAACAACACAACAGAAAGTGAAAAAAAAAAATTATTTACAGCACTGCTTTTGAGGAATGATCTCTACAGAGTAAAGGAAGTATAAATCTGCAGAGGATAAAATTCTAGCAACTCCAATTGGTGGTTGTGACTGCATGAGTATTTCCATTTGGGAACTTCATGTACCTGGACCACTTACAGTTAAGATGAGACAGACTGTTAATTCTGTGAGTTCTGAAAGGGAGGAATGAAAAGAGGCTGACTAAATTAGCAGCTCTGTTACAAAGAGAATCTTATGTTCATGTCATTGCTTTCTCCAAACTGCACTGCTTAGTACTGGCATCACAGAGAAAGCAAGGAGGATACAGTGTAAGCCACTTTACATGACATCAAGTGCCACATTAAACCAGAAACAGCTTGGACATGCACACAGTGAATGGCTTAACTTCTTACAGACAAGAATGAGATATGAAATTGTTCTGCACTTCATTCAGTCAGCCTCCAGACACAGAGGAGCTGTAAAAGTTGCAGTAAATTTTGCTTTTGGAATAAGTCATTAAACTAATTTCTATTAGCTTCCACAAGCAGTAAGTCTTTTTCACATCATTCCTGAAGGAGGAAGCATCTAACATTATATGTAATTCCTTAAGTATACATCACATTAACACTTAAACAAAAGCGTTTGGAGGAAGTGCGAACCCTGCCTGCTCAAGGTCTGATGTCATCAGAAGTGCTGCCTCCATGCTGCTTGACTCTGCACGATAGGCTTAGAGCAGGCAGTGGGAGAACTGATTTCACTCAGCATAAAGGCAGGAATTTCATGCCTTAGAGCTCACTGTCACTGGGGTGCCTTGCCTCAACTAAAACAAACAAACATAAGAGAGAGGCATCATCAAAAGGTGACTACAAACAGAAGTTTCATGCTATTATTCCCAGCCATTGGCCAGAGCAGCCACCAGGTGTTTTTCATTATTCCTTACATATAAACCACATGCAGGTCATGTACCACACACTGCTAGCTGATTGACAGAGCATTTCACATCTGTCCTTTCTAAAATGGCAGTGACTGTTTCAGATTCTAATGTGATCATTTGAAAAGGATCTGCAACAGAAATAAGCTTGGGGTTCATCAACCCACATGACATTACTGCTGAAGGCCACATGTCAGCTTTAGTTTTTCTTACTTCAGGGCTCAAAACAGTGAGAATGAACTATTTTGAGGTATTCCCTTCAGCATCTGAGCAACTTTTAACATTTAAAAAAGCATCAGAAGGCAGAGAATTTAACATTACTCCATCACTCAATAAACTGGTGTATTTAATATTACATTAACCAACTTACAATCTTACAGAAGTCCACCTTACGATTTCATGTGCATTTAACTCTGATCAATGGCCATGCAGATAAGACACAAGATGGCCTTCTTAAAGGGAAGATATGAAACTGGGAATAGAAGGAAGTTGGTCATGGACTACTGGACTAGGAGAACTTGAAAACAGAATGATGACAAGGGAATTCCACAAAGGGCAGTCAAAACAAAACATGCTGTGTGATGCTATTTCTCCAAAAATTGATACATCATCACTCGCAAGTAATTTTTCACAGTTCATAAATTGTTAGGCCACAATTATTATACCCTTAAAAGGGCACTGCACTTGTGCAGGCTGTACCCCTGAAAAAGTTGCCTACAAGCAGTGGATTTGGGTTCATCAATAAAAAAAACAATAAACAGCAGGGAAGAACTCAAGTACTGTCAATGGTGGCTTCCAAGGGAGAATGGACTGCATCCAAGGCTCTTGTTCGTCTTCTGCTCAGCTACTGATTTCATACGTTGTGTGGAGTAAATCTGTGCTAGCAGACATTCCTTAACTCTACTGAAATACAGCTGAAGCACAACTCAGAGTGGGTGGCATCTTCAGGCCTCCAATAACAGGACAGCTACCTCTGGAGCTCACAGTTCATAAGGGTAAACTCCAGCAATCAGCTATAGTTGCAGCATGGAAAACAGCCGTTTGGTGAAAGAATGAGCTTACTGATGTTTGTGTTTGACTCTAATTTTAAATGGCTCAAAAGCTGAGTGTGGATAACGAGCATCATTACGTGAAAAAGTATCTTAGCCCTTTTAAGTTTATTTTTTTTAATCCTTAGATGATTATTTAAAAAGACAAAAACTCATAGGAACTGTTTCACAGCAAGCAAATAATCTCATAACTTATCAGAACATGCTTGAAATTCTGCTAATGCCCACTATAATTTCATTCTCATTTAAACTATTTTCACGTCCTAAGAAACCATTTGTAAATTTAAATGTTTTTTGCTGTATTCCTCTCCTCGTTTTCTAAGGCAAATTCAGCTTTTCAGCAAGAGACCATTAGCAAACGGCATACAAATAAAAACTGGATCTCACCTCTGTCGCTGTCATATAAATATGCAAACTTGGTCCACTGATAGTATTCAATCAAACTAAGGAGAGCTCCCTTGAGGTCAGGTCTCATCTGAATGACAAATGGATGTGTTCCATCTGTTGGGAAGCTCGGAGTTATGAAGGAGACGTGAAGAGTCCCACAAAACGATGTTATGGTGTTTACAGACTTCTTATCATAGAATCCAAAAATAGCAAAGACTCCTCTTGAAAACTGGGAGCAGACTAGGAGAGAGACAGAAAAACAGTTAGGTGGGAATTCTTTTTTTCCCAGAAATGCACTGAGAATCCTATTGTGTGTATACATCTTAGAAATAATGAAGTTGTCTAATTTCACAATGGGAAAGAACAGTAATGCTATGCTATGGAGGTAATTATGTGCTAGCATTATTAATCAGTAATATAAAGCTTTCAGTAAAAACAACAACAAACATCAAAGGTGTGGCCTGCAGTCCAAGTTATTTAGAAATTAAACGCACCTATATAAACATCGATGGCAGCTGGAATTTATAACATGAGTCATCATGATCACCCATACCACCAAAGGAAGCAGATAACTTTTTTGTCACGTCAAAAATAAATTGGTTCTGAGATCAAGACTCCCTGAGCTTTTTGTTTAATTCTTTATATTGCCCCAAATTAAAAAAGAAAGAAAGGAAAACGTTTCAAAGCCAGAACTAGAAGCAAATCTCTTAGCTGCAGAAAATAAGTTGATTTGTTTTAAACTCGAGTTTCAGGCATTATTTTAATTCTCTGTGCTTTCAGATTCAGCAAAAGCTGGTCTTCCTGGATGACACTTGCAGTCATGCTGCAGAAAGAATAACCTCAGATGTAAATCACCTGCTGATTATTCAATTTTTATCACTGGAGACAATTCAAGCCAGCTGATGAACACTGCTGATAAATGCAGCCTGGAGAGAAGAGCTAGCTCTTCTGGGTCATCCTGTTCTTTAATACTGCAAGTTATATTAGTGCCTAGGTTTTAAAAACAAGATAGATTGAGGAAAAATTCCTCCCTGATTAATTCTGAGCTATCACCTACGCATTCTTCGGTTTGCACACTGTCACCTTGAACAAGAGGCAAATCCTTTTAGACAAAGCACCTAGCCAGCCTCACTGCAAACCCTGCTACATCTGACCTGCTGATAGCTGTAAATCACTACATAGCTGAGTCTAACTTCTCCTGGCTGTTTAGAGCACTAAACAGCACCAATCCTTGAATACAATTCACATATGAGGGCAGAAATAAATTGACTTATTTTTGAAGCTTCTCACATTTGTTATTTTCTCTTTTAAAGTTATCACATCCTTATTAAAATAAAAAAAAAAAGCCCCTTTATTATGTTATTATTAATTTCTATTTACTTTGCATGGCTTTTCCTGTCTACCATAGAATCGCAGAATAACTTGAGGGGAAGAGATCCATAAGGATCATTGAGTCCAACTCCTGTCTCTATCTGGACCACCCAAAATTTGTATCATGAGTGACAGAATTGTCCAGACACCTCGTGAACCTGGCAAGCACAGATCTCAAACTGTAACTATTTCTATGCTTCAGTTAGAAGTATCTAAACAGCCTGGGTGAAATTCTGAGTCCAACAACTTCAACACATCCCCTGTTAACTTTAAAAAGGTCAGAATTTCACCTCAGGTGAGAGGATAGAAATGACTAAAAAACAACCAATGACTAATGCCCCTGTATAAAAGGATGCTGCGCAGGCTACCAGGACAAGAGTACAAGACTTCATCTATAATAAACACCATATTTACGAGCACTGCTCTGAAAGTGATGCTTCCTATTTTATTATGTTGGCTAGCAATGTCAGAGACAGATGTCGGTGGCATGTCAGTAGAGGCTGAACCTTCCCTCCAATATTCCATTACATCTTGTTGCCATGTGACAGATGGCAGCAGAGAGGCGGTCTGACAGAATGGTGGCTGACATGGAAGTGTGTATGAAGCCAAAGTGTGCCACCGAATTCCTCTGTGCAGAAAAGATTTGCACATGGTCACACTGATGCTTGCTGAATATCGATGGAAACCGAACAGTGGATGTCAGCACAGTGAGCTGCTGTCTGATATGATTCAGCAGTAGCAACAGTGGGTCACCTCCTCTGGTGCAGGCTTACAAGCACAGCCTGCAGGCTCTAGTTTCATGGCTAGCAAAAATGCATAGCTAACTGTGGTATGTTGAAAAGTAATGCTTTGTGGCTGAGAATTCACTTGGTCAAATGGTATCACAGAATCATCGGGGTAGGAAGGAACCTCCAGAGATCATTGAGTCTGACCCCCCTGCAAAGCAGCCCCCTACAGCAGGCTGCACAGGTAGGCATCCAGGCTGGTCTTGAATATCTACAGAGAAGGAGAATCCACAGCCTTCCTGGGCAGGCTGTTTCAGTGCTCTGTCAGCCTCACTGTGAAGAAGTTCCTTCACATACTGGTACAGAACTTCCTATGCTCAAGTTTAGGGCCATTTCCCCTTGTCCTGTCCCCACAGACTGCTGAAAACAGGTTAGCTGTGTACACTCAAGATTTTTATAAGCTTTAATAAGTTCACCTCTGAGTCATCTTTTCTCAAGGCTGAACAGATCCAGTTCTCTCAGCCTTACCTCATAAAAGAGGTGCTCCAAGACCTTTACCATCTTTGTGACCCTCCACTGGACTCTTTCCAGGAGATCTTTGCCTTCTTTTTATACCGGGGAGCCCAGAACTGAATGCAGCACTCCAGGTGAGGCCTGACCAGAGCAGAGCAGAGGAGGAGAATCACTTCCCTTGCCCTGCTGGCTACATTCCTTTTAATGCACCCCAGGATCCCATTGTCCAACCAGGGCACATTGCTGTCTCAAAGCCAACCTGTTGTCCACCAGGACCCGAGTCCTGCTCTGCAAAACTCCTCTCCAGCAGATCACCCCCCAGGCTGTACTGACATTTGCAGTTATTCCTTCCCTCCATGACTCCACCCTTACTTTTGTTAAAGCTCATCTGGTTTCTTAAGTTATTAAATGATTAATAATTAATAAATTAATTATTATTGTGCTTTTTGTACTTGCTGTAGTTTCTACAGTAATAAATAGGAGGCGTTACCATTGGAGGGACCTATTATCTCAAGTCCATTCGAGGTATAACACTGATCAAGTTGAAAAAAAAGCCTTCTGAAAAGGGCTGTGAATTTTCTAAACAGCTTTCCTGTTTGAATTACCTCTAATACCACTGGACGGTGCTTGAAAAACGCAGGAGCTCTGCACCCATTCAGGGGGACGCATGCAACTAGCCCACTATCTTCAAAAAAGACCCAAGAGTTTACAACCCACAATCCTTACATTCAGAAAATCATCCGTCCATAATTGTACACATCATCTGAGAAAGCTGAGTGCCATCCTCTCAATCTCCCCCACACCAAGCCAGGGATGAGCAGAAAGCACATCCTTTGGCTGAGGAAATGAAGTGACAGCATCTCTATCTGCTTACACCAGTTTAAAAGCACAAACACTCCATCCCCACACTATCAGTATAAAAGCATAAACACTGCGTGTTTCTCAAACTATTAAGAAACCTGCAACAAAGATATAAAATCATTTAATTCAATAGGGAAAACCCAAATGATAGAGCAAAACTTAAGCAAATCTTAAAAGTAAGCACATTATGCACTCTAGCAGATATTAAGATTTACCATAAAAAACAGGATAAGCTTCAAAAGTTTATGAGCAGTGATCAGTGTTATGGTTGAACTGAAATTCCTCAGTTCTATGCTTGCACGTGTGAAATTGTTATTAAAGGTCAGCACAAGGGCACCTGTGCAACATAGTAAAAACTTGCTACGGTTATTATTTAGAATGTCACAAGATAAATGCTTGCAACTGTTTTGGGACTCTTATTCTCTGAGGGCAGGAGGGGAAAGAAGAGAGAATATTTTTAAGTACGCAATGGTGATCCAGGGGTTATAAAGCAGAAAGCGTAGATCTTTCTGGCAGGATTCATACATTAGACCACCAAGTCTACAGCCATGCTGTTACTGTTGGAATATGTTAGTTTTTATGATAAGTAATCACATGCTGTTCATGATTATTACAGTAAAAAAAAAATAATCATGGTGATAAGGACTCTGAAGTCACTGAAACATGAAAGCCATATTAAAGACATCAGAAACAACTGCTATGATTTATTTCTTTCAAGCTCTTCCATACAAAGCATTCCTCTTTAGGTCTATGTACTTCCCAGAAGTGGTCAGTGGCCTACAGAGCAGCAAGGGGACAAGAATAAAATACACTCCTTTTCTCATCACTTTTCTAAACAGCTTTGCTTAGGCTGGTAAACAAAGGGGGACAGCAAGGAACAGGGTAAATAATTAAAGGTATCTGAGAAACAGTTACAACAAAACCTTCTTGGAATTGCTAAGATCTCTACATATTCTATTTGAATTATTCTTTTCCATTTAACTAAGAGGCAAAGATCCATTCTGTTATTGCTTTCCTGAACACTGAAGATGGGTCCTAATCTTTTTTTCCCAAACACCAAGGCCTTGATTCATTCAACACACACACAAACACACAAAAAAATTTAAGCTTATGTCTGCAGTGAGAAATAACGTGGTGTTAAAGGAAAACAGAAACTACCTGCTCAGTTATTTACCCTTCCATTGATACTATACCTGTTTCTGCTTTTTACTGCAATGTACTCATAGCTTATTTTATTTAATCCTTTCTCCATTACATTATCCTCTTTTGTCTATTAAAGTCTATAAAGATTTTCAAGGCCAGATTGAATGGGATCCTGGGCAGCCTGACCTAGGGCTGGCAAACCTGCCTACAGGAGTGACTTTGAACTGGACATCTTTATGGCCCTTCCAACTGAAGCCATTCTATGACTATATGATGATTAAAACAAATGTCTCGTAGTACCTGCATGAGGATACAATAAAGTAAAAGGTATGACTTAAGCTTCTTTTAACTGCCATAAGGATTGCTGTTATTTGTAAATATGAGAGTTTTGATACTTGGTTTCTGTCCAACGGTGACAATTTTTAATTACTAAGAAGCTATTCCACCCTCCAAAGCTTGCATTTTAAATGCTGTTGGCATTACCATCGCTCCACATGTTATTTTGTTGTCATAAATTGTTTTGCTACAGTGCTAACGGAATGGCTTCAATACTGACATAGGGAAATAAGCCTTTAGCACATATTATTTAACCACGTCCAATCATTCTCTTCTACATAAGAAACTACA